TTTTTTTTTTTTTTTTTTTGGCAGAACCAGGGATTGAACTCAGGCCCTTGCGCTTGCCAGGGAAGCGCTTATTCCACTGAGCCATCTCCCCGCCCCAGGAAGGCGGTATTGAGCGGCACCTCAGAGCCCCAGGCTGACCACTTGCTAGGAGTTCCTGTCTGCTCTGTGACATGGCACGAGTCTCCAGCTTCCCAGGACACAGTGCCTCCCCACCTCCCACTGGGCATCAGAAGTAGTATTCATAGCACTAGGGACACCTGGGACACCCACACCAGGGAGTGACAGCCTCAGTCCTGGCTAGGAGGGGTCCCAGCTACTATGCAGGTGCTCAGGGCGTTGCTGTGAGGTAGACACAGGAGGCAGACTTGTGCTGCTCTGGAACCCTTCCCAGACTAACAGTGACTCCGTGGCCATCTCCACGGTGTCCCAAGTCTTTTCTCCCTTCTGTTCTTCTCAGAGCAGGAATCCAAGAGGCCTGTCACACCTTCCCCAGCTTTGGGAAAAAACAACTTGCACATGAACAACAGTTTTTAAAGAAAAGCAAAAGCACCCCCTGCTGCTTTAGAGACCTTCCTGTCTGGGTGTGGGTGGTGACACCTGTAATCCCAGCGATGGGAAGCCAAGGCAGGAGGACTGTGGCAAGTTCGAGGCCAGCCTGAACTTAATAGTGAGAGATCTTGTCTCCTAAAATAAAAATAGGGGCTGGGAGATAGCTCAGCAGCTAAGCACCTGTCTGGCAAGCACAAGGAGCTGCGTTTGATCCCCAGTACTGCATGCTGTGTCACTGTGCTAGTGCACGCCTGTATCCCAGCTCTGGGGAGGCTGAGACAAGAGGATCACTGTGAGTTCCAGGCTAGCGTATGCTACATGCTACGCAACAAGAACCTGTCTCAAAAGACTAAAAACTAAAGAAGTAGAAGTTTTGCCTAGTGTGCAGAAGGTCCTGGGCTCAATGCCCTGCATCACCACCAAATAAAATACTACAATGCATACAACGTATTGAGTGTTAGCTTGGGCCAGGAATAGCGCCAGGCACTGGGGCTACTGCAGTGTGACAGGGAGCCGTGTAAACTGCTGCGGGAGACAGTGGCTTACGTAAGGTCAGCGCGTGGGGCACTGTGGGAGCCCCTCATGGTGCTGGTGCTGTGGGTCTGTCAGGTGCGCAGTGCCACTGAGCACAGGGCAGGTGTGGCTGCAGCCGCGCCGGGAGGGCACCTGCAGGCGCTGAGCCGTTGGGCCTCGGAGGGGCCGGGACAGTGTGACGAGCCTTCAGGAGCTCCCTGGCTGCTTGGGTCCCCAGTTCTGCACTGAGCTAGATCCCAACCCATTTTTACTTTGAGGCTGGGTCTCTTAAGTGGTTAAAGTCTGGAGAATGCATGCAGGGATGAGGGGCCCATCAGTGCCAAGTCAGCAAGAAGCTTGCAGGGCCGAGATCTGATCTCCATGCAGAATGGGTGTTTACAGTGCACCCATCAACCACCCCACCTTGCACACTCAGGGAAGCAGGTCTGCAGCCCCAGGCATCCCTGGGCCCAGAAGAGGAAGAGAGGGAGGGAGGGAAGGAAGGAGGCAGAGTAGGTGGACACCTGGCCTCGTGTAATGAAGGGACGCGGAGATGAAAGGGGAGGTGGGTGGGGCGAGCAGGTCCTGACAGCCCAGCCCGCAGTGCCCTCCTCACCCCTGCAGCTCTGCAGCCACCTTGTCCTGCAGCTCTGCCAGGCAGGCAGCCCCAGGCCAGGTACAAGGTGGGGAGCCAACTTTCCCAGGCTCACAGCCCCTTTCCTGTGGTTCTCTGGGCACAGCCTTGGTCCAGGCCAGGCCCAGCCAGAAGGTGGGGCCCTGGGTTCTGGCCCCTGGCGCTGGGCCCAGCCAGGGAGCAGCAGAGGCTGCAGAAACCAGGGTGTGGCTATACTGCCTGAGAGCTCCCCGCTTACCCGCCCCCCCCCAGCAATCTGGGGCTGGTCCAACAGGAATAGGGCAAATGGGCACAGGACGGTGTGGGGCCAGGGGCTTCTCTGGAGACCAGTGGCCTCCCAGGGCCCACATTTCTTCCCCAATGGCGCGGACTCTCTGCTGGAATCAAGGTGGCACCAGCTTCACTTATGCTGTTTCTGCGAGGCTTTATTCTCTTCCTCCACTGGTGTGGAGACAGGGGCCAAGGCTGTATGTACCGGATTGCACACATGCCAGGTGGTACCCAGCACCCAGCCAAATCCTTGTTAGATGAGTCTGCGACTGCCTCTAATCTTCACATAGCATTAGGAAATAATCTTGCTATCCAGAGAAGAAACGGGGCTTCTGGACAGTCCAAGAGCCTCATTGAAGGATAGTGTTTGCTATCAACAGTCCTCTGCTCTGCTCCTTCTCCTGGGGGGATTTGGAGAACTGGAAAACCCACGGTCAGACAGCCAGGCCTCTGCGCTGTGTGTTCCCAGCGAAGCTGCAGGAATCTCCCACACCCAGGAGTTCTCAGAATCATCACTTGCAGCCGAGAGCAGGAGGCCAGTCTGAACTGGCTCATTTATTTCCCAAGCCAAGTGAGACCAAGCCCTCCCCCACCCCACAGCCACCAAGAGCCAGTGGCCACACCCCTCTCCCCAAGCCTCAAGACAGCTGGTAAAATTAGTGAGCTCTTACAAAACTCAGCCCAGGAAACATGCGTATTTCTAGAGCCAAGGCTGGGGGCGGGTAGAACTGGATCCTAAACAAGGGGACCCAGAACCTGTCCCCTCAGGGCTGTGGGTTAGGGCCACCCAGGTGCTAATCCACCCTGCACTTTCTTCCCAGAAGTGGTTCATCTGCACTCCCTGCCCTCCTCCTGACCCCATGTCCCCAATGTGGAGATGACACTGAGAGCAAGCGTGATTGTTCCTGATGTCATGCCAAGCTAGACTTTCAAAGTGGTTCTAATTCACTGGAAATAGGCATAAACCTGGGCAAAGGACACACTGATGGGTCACCTCTGCCTGGACTGGGCCCTACCAGCTGACCTTCTCTGGGACTTCTGTGCCTACCTTCCACCCTCCAAGGTCTGCCAGCATTTTGACCTCCTTAGGTAACACTGGTGGACTGCTAGGACTGGGTCAGGAACCCCCATGAGACCCCGCCATGCAGGCTTCTGTTGTCGGGCCCCAGCACTCACGACTACCACCCAACCCCGAGCGCTGCTTCATGCTCAGCGTCCTGTCCCTGCTCACCAAGGCTCCCTATTTGGCCCTCCACGGAGCCAAGGGCTGGGCCAGATAGACAGAACCTACCTGTAGGGCCCAGCACCTCTGTTTTAGAACCTGCTCAGTAGGCCAGGCTTGCAAATTTGCTCTCAGGAACATCATTACAGCAAATAGTGGAAGCTCAGGGCCCGAGGCTCCCCTCCTGCCTCTTCACCCTCCCACCCCTATCTGCAGGGTCCCCAGCTGCACACACACCCAGCTTTGGGAAACAGCCTCCCTCAGCTCCCTTGTCATGCTATCTATTTTCAGGGAATGAAGACTCTCCCGTGTCATGTCAGGATCAGGCTGTCTGACACCCAATTTGACCCTCCCACCCCCACAATGACAAATTCCCAGGCCCAGCCCCTCAGAGAGGAGCTGAAAGACAGGGCTCAGGACATGGTTTTCCGGTGGGCATGGGGGTAGGCGTAGGAGATGGGATGGCGCGTCCCGGGCCTCACGGTGAACGTGTTGATGTTCGACCTGGGAGATGAGAGAACCATTACGTTCCTGTACTATTGGTCCCGCTCTGCCCTGTCCCCTCCCACAGCAAGCAATCAAGGCCCAAGGGAGTCCCCTCCGGGCACTGAGGTGCCCTCCTTTGCCCTTGAGTCAGAGATCAGAGGCCTGAGCACACTGCCTTCCTGTCCCCTGCCAACCCGGCCCAGCTCACCTGCCCATGGGGGGTGCCAGGCAGTGCTCCCCTGCTGTGTCTCCAGGCATCCTGTATTTGGTGTCACCCGTGCCACGTGCCACTGTGCCCTCCAGTGACATCCGCCGGCCGTGGATTGCAGCAGGATGTGTGCGTCCAGCCGAGGGGATACGTCGTGGTGCAGGGCCGTTCGGGGCGCCCTGGAAGCGGCTGGACCCGAGGGCTCGAGGTGGCTCACCCATATACAGCCGCTTCTTAATGAGTGAGCGGCCTGTGGGTGAGCCCCGCTCTGGGACACGCGGGAAGGCCAGGGCACGCGGGAAGGCCAGGGCAGGTGACCACCCCAGGTCCTTGGGGGCTAAGGAAATGGGGTCATTGCTGAACTCAGGAGGTGGAGGAATGACTTCAAAAGTGAACTCTTCCTCATCCTTGTCCTGCCTCCTGCAGAAAGGCGAGGGTGGCGATGACAGGGACCTGGGAAGCAAGGGGTCCTGTGGGAGGCTGGAGGGGACAGGTCTGTCCCAGGTGCCCCGGGGGGCATGGGACTGCACTGCTGTCCACCGAGGCAGTGAGGGTGGCTCTGCACTCTCTAGGGGCTTTGGCTCTCTGAACACCTCAGACTGCACTGGCCCAGGCAGCAGGGTGGCCTTCTCTGCCTCCTTGGGCGACTTGGGAACGACTGTGAAGGAATAGGGCTTGTAGTCTGTGTAGAAGATGCTGTCCGACCTGGGCTCTGGAGGGCCGCTGTGGCCTCGAAGGCTCCCAGGCAAGGACCGTCCCTGGGCAACCCCTCCAGGCCGCCCCTTCTGTGCCCTCTGCCTGGCTGCCAGGAGCAGGGCCATCGGGGACCCCCGCTCCACCACCTCTCCTGTCACTGGGTGCCGAAGTACTTGGTCAGCGGGTGGGGCTGGGCCTGGGGGTGTGGATGGGGGGTCCTGAGTGCCCCTCAGCTCCACAGGCCCCTCTGGACCTGCGGCTTTTTCTCTGGCCAGCATGGGCTTCTCTGTGCTAGCCTCAAAGCTGGGGCCGCTCTGATGACTATGGGGCTTATAGAAGAGCTGTACTTCTTCCCGGCCCGGTGATGTCTTAGCTGCCAGCGGCCTGGTGACCCCTGGCAGAGGCTGTTCTGGCCCTGGCTGGGTGGACGCTATGTCATTCTGAACTTCTGGCTGCTTCTGCTGCCAGCCCCGCTCAGCCGGGATGGGCTGCTTCTCTGCTATCAGGTGGGATGGTGTGGTGGGCTTCATGGTGGCTGTGGATGTGACCAGCCCAGGGGCACTCTTGGGGGCAGCAGCAGGTCCCAGGGTGGCCATAGATTGCACTGGTGTGGTCCACTGAGGGGTGGCAGACAGAGACAATGGGTCCTCGGCCACAGGCTTGGGGAATTTGCCATTATCGGTCCCGTTCACCAAGCGGCGTCCTCCTTCTGGACGAGGCTTGGGAGGCAGAGAGCTCAAGCTGGGCTTGACGTCCTTTTCCGAAGACGCTGACAGCCGGGCCTCCAGCTCCTTCCGGATCTGCTGGACACTGGGGATGGGAGTGTCCTGAGAGTCGTAGTCCACTGGGGGTAGGGGCAAACTGGGACCCTTCTCAGGGACACTGAGGGGCGTCTTGTCAGGCAGGCTCTGGGAGGTTGCTTCCGCCAGGAGACTAGGGGCCTTCTTGCCCTCCTTGTCCTGAGAAGCCACTGTGGGGCTTGGTCTGGGACCAGGGGCTCTGTCCTCCCTCTTGGGCCCGCTCAGATAGGCTGCCAGCTGGCTCCGCAGCTGCTCCAGCTGCCCGGGGTCTCGCCAGTCTTTGGGCTCTGCAGAGGCCACAGGCTGTGGGGTGGGGAGTTTAGGTTTGGATTTGGGTGTGGGTTTAAGAGCTGGGAAGCTGGATTTAGGGTGCTGTGGCAACCCAGCCACTGGAGGGGCCCCCTGTTCAGAAGGCAGTGGAGATGGGAGAGGAGGTGCAGGGGGAGGAAGAGGAGGGGGTGGGGGAGGGGTGGGGGGCGGAGGCCCAGCTGGTTCATTTGTGGAGGACTTAGCCTGGCTGGATCTTGGGCTGCACGGAGCTATGGGCTCCCCAGAGTGGTCTGGCTCCCCAGGGGCCTGGTTGGGGTACACCTGGGATGCAGGGCGGATGTGGAAGCTGGGGGGCACTGGGAGGCGGCTGGGTATCTTCTTGATAGCACCCTCTTCTTCTGGGGGAGCCCCTGGGTCTTCCAGAGCTGGGATAGATGAGGTCCGGACCGGAGTTGGGGGAGGCACCTTAGATGAACGGGGCCCGGTGAGGTGGGTCTCAGGGACCGGTCTCCTCAGCTCAGCAGGGCTCCTGGGGGGGCTGGCCTTGGGGGTCTTGGGCTGCCTGCCATTCAGAGCCACCTCTGATGTCCATTTGGTGACACCCCCAGGGGGGAAGAGCTGACTCCCCTCTGTGCAAGGAGAAGAGGGGACTGGGGGGAGTGGGGCTGGCACAGAGGGCGGTGGGGGAGCTACAGCTGCCCCAGGAGGGGCGGGTGGGATGAAGTCAGGCAGGCTAGGTGTGGACGGTGGAGACAGGGTGTCTGGTGGGCACAGGGTGTCTGGTGGGGACAGGGTGTCCTGGACAGGGGGTGGTGGGGGAACCATGGGGGGTGGCGGGGGAGCCATGGGGGGCGGCGGTGGAGTTGGGGGTTCCACCAGCAATGGGGGAGGTGGGGGAGCAGTGGAAGGGGGTGGTGGTGGCAGGGAGTCTCCTGCAAGCTGTGGCAAGTCCTGAGGTGGCCCTGGGGCTGGGCCTGGAGGAGGTGGGGGGATGCATGTGTCCTGGCCGTAGGGCTCAGGCCTCAGGTCCCCCACAGAGCTGTAGAGCCGGAGGTTGCCATTGGCTAGCGAACTGCCACCTGCAAGAAGCAAGAGGTTGATGGGGGGTGGCCTTGTCCCCCATCAGCTGCAGCCCGACCTGGAGTTGTGCAGAGCTGCAGACTGGTGGCCCAGACCCTGCAGCTCACTTCGCTGTCCTCTCCTTGGCCAGGCCTCCATCCCCTTAGGGCTCACCTGAGCAAACAGCTGGGAAAGGGCTGCTGCTGACAGCCACAGGGAACTCGGGTATCAGGCACTGAGTTAGAAGCTAGGGATATGGTAGTAAGCAAAGTACCAGCCAAGTGTGGTGGCATGTGTCTCTGACTTGGCACTCATGAGGCTGAAGCAGGAAGACTCCCGTGATTTCCAAGCCAACTGGGCTACATAGTGAGACTGTCTCACGAACAAACAAAACAAAACAAAAAAGCAAAATGGGGCCAGCCAGATAGCTCAGCAGACTAAACACAGCGGCCAGGGTTTGATCTCCAGCGTGCCACACAGGCCCTGCTCCCCAGGGGGCACTGAGATGGTGACTGAGAATGGGCACTGGGGGTGATGGCACATGCCTGTAATCCTAGTGCTTGGGAGGCTGAAAACAGGAGGATCACTATGAGTTCGATCTGTGTAGTGAGACCCTGTAGACCTTGTACTAAAATACAAAAAAAAAAAAAAAAAAAAAAAAAAAAAAAAAAAAAAAAAAAAAAAAAAAAAAAAAAAAAGCAAAGCAACAACAACAAAGCACCAAAAGCCAGACAAAGGAAATGCTGACACCCTCTTGAGTATATGTTTTCAGGGGACAATGAGATAGCAGACCTTGGGCTGGATATAGCCCAGTGGCACAGCGTCTGCTTAGCAAGTGTGAGGTCTTGAGTTCAACTCATGACACTCTTCCCAAAAAACAGCACTAGAGACAGCGGACACCACATGTAAGAACTGATCACTGTGGGGTGTGGCGGCACATGCCTGTAATTCCAGCACTCGGGAGCTGAGGCAGGAGGATCGTTGTGAGTTCGAGATCAGCCTGGGTTACAAATTAAACTCAAGGCCAGCCTGGACCCCACAGCGAGACTCTGTCTCAAAAGAAAGAGAGAGAGAGAGAGAGAGAGAGAGAGAGAGAGAGAGAGAGAGAGAGAGAATCACCATGGCGGTGTGTACTGTAGGAAAACCAACAGGGTGGGGAGCCAAGAGTGGTCGGGGTGGGATCCCTGTTGGTGGCCTCATGGCAGGGACACTGGCCAGGTGTCCAGCAGAGCCTAGGCAGGGGCAGCCGGCATTAATTGTTGAGCATGGTGATCTGCTCAAAAAGCCACTCTGTTGGGGGGCATGGGAAGTTCCCCACCAGTTCCGAGCAGAGGTGTGACAGTGACTTATATTCCCTCCAATATTCACTGATGCCCCCAACAGGGGCAGATGTGTGAGGGGTTGGGGGACTCACTCGGGCCGGCAAAGCCAAGTGGGGGGCACTGGCCTTGCAGCCAGGACTGTCCCGACGCCACTGGTTCTGTCCCTTAATTATTTAAAAACAATTTTGACTTTTCAGGGTAAGAAAAGGTCTGCATCACTAAGTTGGCCAGGATAGGCTTAAACTTGGGATTCTCCTGCCCCAGCCTCCCCGAGTATGGGGTTCTAGGTGTGCACCACCAGGCCAGGCTCCATGCTTTGCCTTTTGAATTCAGAGTCCAAGAAGAAAAGATGGACAAGCTCTAGACCACGTCTTCTTACCTGTCCCACCTTTGTCTGCGAAATCTTCAGGAACAGAGGGGGTGGGCACAGCCAGCCCATGGTTCTCCTGGGCGTTCTGAAAGGGACCGGAGAGCAATCAGGGGACAAGCAAAGGACAGATCATTCATTTTTAAATGACCACAGTGAGGCCATCAAATGCCTGGAAACCCGCAGGGGGGTGTGGCTGCGAAATCCCATTCCCAAGCTTGCTAGAACAGTAATAGGGGCACTTAAGAAGGCGGACCTGGAGCTCGACAGACTGGGTTGCCCCTGATGCCTCTGCCCTGCCAAGTAAGGCCAGCATGGGGTCCCTGCCCCTGGGGAGGGCGCGGGGCAGGGCTCCAGCTCGTGTTTAAAGGAAGATACGGTGTCCTGCTTGACCCCAGTAGAATGGCCACTGCTCTGAGCCCAGTGGTCACAGAGCAACAGGACTATTGATCCTGGGTTATGCATCAACTCGGGCCACCAGGCCAGCTGCAGACAAGCACAGAGCCTACACACAGCGAGGGACCCTATCAACTAAACACATACACAGAGGTATCTGTGGCAGACGCCACAGTGAGGAGCTTAAGCCCCCACCCTACCCCACCTATTGGGTTTTTGCAAAAGAGCGGGTGGAACCACGCCAAGCCACAGAGTGCTCTGTCAGATGCTGGGTGTGGGCGGCCATGGTCCCCTCCATAAACCCATTTCCTGTTTCTTTCTACTGACCTACCTCCCTGCCCCCCCCCCCTTTTTACTGCAAGTCTATCTCTCGGTCCATTTTGTTTTGTTTTGGTGTAGTCTGGTGAGGCAGGGTCTTGCTGTGCAGCTCAGGCACCCTCATGCCCCAGGCTCTCCAGGGCCGGGACCACAGACACATACCACCACCACCACCACGCCCTTTCTTAAGCACCTCAGAATGGCCTCACACCACCATTTCATTCTTTTCTGCCTCTGCTTGAGTCCTGTGGCTAACAACACATCTGTTTTTTAACATTTGTCCAAAACAGGAGCCAGGGACACGGCCTGCCTGGGCCATCCATGACCCCGACACCACACGCACACAGGTTACTCTAGTGACCTGCTCTGTCCCTGAGCCCTGACTCTGAACTGAAACAGACTGGGCCTTTAGCATCGGATGGGGACAGTGATGTTGGACACATTCACGTGCGTGCCATGTGCCAGCACAACAGCTTGACTGATGTCACTTCACGCTGCCTCCTCTCCTACATGGCCGTCACCACCTGTTCTCCCACACACACTTGTAACAACAGAGCCGGGCACAGTGACCCCGGCACCTGAGAGGCTGAGGCAGGAGGATCACCTTGAGCTTACACAGTGAGACCCCGTCCCAAAAATACAAAACAAAA